ATTTCATTTTGTAAAATGTGTGTGTGTGAGAGAGAGAGAGAATGCTAAGAACGTGTGTGTGTGCTATTTTTGTGCAAAACCTGAATAATATTTTTTTTTCTGACCTTCTTGTTTTTCTGTCCCTTTATGATGGTTATGAATTTTTTTGTATGGAAGTAAGGGAATAAATGGAGAAATACACCAAGCCGAGGGGGTTAATGATGGAGGAAAAGTTGAGAATCCCTGTTCTACACATATTAATTACAAGTCACAAAAGGTAATTATCTCTGTATAAAAATCACTAGTAAGGCTTACTTGGAAAATACACGTGCACAGTTTTGGTCTCCTTGACTAGGAAAAGATATTGACGTACTGAAAGTATTCAGAGAAGGTTATTATTAGTATTACTAAGAATAATTTGATTTCATGGGTGTAAGTATTATCTTATAGAGATTATAACCTAGTAACATGAAATATTCGCTAAGTTTTTGGAACTTACGGTACTTGCAAGTTACTGATATACTCAATTCAAACAGCTGGACAACCCATTTCAGGCAGTTGGCTGTCCTCTTCCTGTTTAATAGTTCAAAACTATGAAAATTTTATGAGCAACTGTTTAAATATTTTAGAGAAGTGTTGTACTCACAATTTTCAGTATAAATTACAATTTTATAAGAAATAAAACAAATAGACAGTAATTTGCCCGTTCATTCTATTTATTATTTAAAAATCATAACCTAGTATCGTCAGGATGGCCGAGTGGTCTAAGGCGCCAGACTTAAGATCTGGTCCTCGTAAGAGGGCGTGGGTTCGAACCCCACTTCTGACATACTTTTAAATTTCTTAACTTCCCACAACATTTTGTTAATCATGTAACAAACTGTAAAGTTGAGTACAACATAAAGGTAACTTAAAATTTTTTTTATAATTTTCGAGAATAAATTATGTTCAATATTTCTCTTACAAGTACAAAGCTACACAGTGGGCTATCTGTGCTCTGCCCATCATGGGTATCGAAACCCGGTATTTAGCGTTGTAAGGCCGCAAACACTGGGGCGCAATAACTCAGATGTATTTTCCTTAAAATCTCAAAGGTGCTTGATACGTGAGGATAATTTAAAATGCATATATTTTAGTTTTATTAATTTATTTATTTTAGTACTATAGTATAGTTATTTAGTTAGACCTTAACAGCTGCTAAATTGTATTTAGGTTCTAGATACTCGCGAAAGGAGACGTTTGGTATACTAATACGGTTTGAATTGCATTTCATGTTATTTACTTTGTAAATGTATCGTGAATAATATTTAGTCGCAAATAAAATCACGTGATACATACACACACATCGACAGAAAAAAAAAGTGCATTATATAAAATATATTTTTACAACTTGGAATAGTCTACTGCAGACTTTTTTTAGCCATATTCTCTAACAAAATAAAATGGATTATTAATTGGCTATCTATCACACACGTCTTCAGGTATATTTTAATTTACACAAATAATTTAAATTCAGACATCAAATAAGTTACTCACTGCTTCTGATTAACTTTCCTATCAAATTCTTATACACTTTTATATACTTTAAACGAAACCAACAGATGGCGCTAATTTGCTTTTTATATTTTCACTCGGTGTGTTATGTCAACTACGCTACTCTTGCCGTACGTTTCTGTGCACTTCTGGGAATACCGACAGATGCCGCCAAGTTACTTGTATAGTTTGACTTTATTTCATGCGTGTAGACTGTTTTGATAACGTCTGGGTTTGTTGAATTATGCGTTATTATGTGTTCAATGATTTACAGTATCATTTACTTCTCAACACGATATTTGTGTATAACCTACTTCAATAGAAACTCCCCACTTACTGCAAATTTGTGTTATGGTGTCTTCATTTCGTTAGGTAAAGTGGTTGAAACATGGCTCCAACTAGCCGCAGAAATCTCCAGTTTAGTTTGCAATAATCCAGAATAATACACAGGATAAACAAAAAAATTATTGTATATATTTATATATATAAGATCAGCAAAGTTACAATATTGATTATACTAGACTAGAACTATTTAAACACTCTCCCATGATCTGGTTTTTCATTTCAGCTCCACGATTAGCACAATTAACAGGTCTGACACTAGAGGCGTAACGAGCATAATGTTCAGGGATGTACTTGCATTTGTACGGCCTATTCATGTCATAATTATTCACAGTTTGAAAATGATGAAAGTCTACACGTTGAATAGCAGGTTGTTTGTTATATTCTACTTGTGATGTGGGAGTGAGGTGATGATAATTGGAACTGGGAGGATGTGTAGCACCGGACTGTCTGTAACAAAGTGCACCCGAGGATCCACCTATACTTGTTGGCTCCTTGGGTCGACGCACTAAGTTACTAACGGGCGAGTGGCGACAAGTATACCCATAAGAACTTTCAAGATAAGCCAACTGATCACTGTTTCCTTTTTTATTTAAAGCGTTTATCTGACCGGCATCTCTAGGATCATTACGTTCATTCTGAAACACGACAAGTTCTCGTTGTTGTATGTGCTGAGGAATGGAATCACTTTTAGGTCCAGCACCAAGTTTTTCAAAGTCTGTTTGAAGTCTTTGAACTACACCAGTCGCTTGGTAACTTTTGGCTTTCGTCCTCATTGGAAGATGGTTAAAGACGTCTCTTCCTCTATCCTTCACAGGAACAGGGTAATGTGAAGAGCACGTCTTGTGAAATGTAGTCCTGTGCGATTCTGGAGAACAAGCTCCCGCAACCAAATTCAAAGCTGTCTTTTCATCTGCCTCTGCTAGTAACTCTTCTGACTTTGACCGCATCAAGCCTGTAACATTTGTCAAGTTATTCTTTTTTATTACTGAATGTGACCAACGTTGCATGATGGGCTGCCTGATGCGCGTGTTTGTTACCGAACTTTGGTCTGATTTGTGTTTAGATTCATTCCTTTTTGACTCTACCCAACTTTGAAGCTCTGCTTTTATGTTACTTAACTGCCCCCACTGTTGTTTATTATGTTCTAGCCTTTCTTGGAATGTCCGCCTCTCCATCCTTTCCATGCATTCCATTCTCTCACTGGCAACTTTTTCCTTAATTGACTGACTGAATTTAAATAGGTGACTACGGGTACTCCGCTCCAAGTGAATTATCTTAGTGTTTAAATCATCGTGTGCGGTTTCGATGTGGTCGATAAGCTCCCGCTTGTCAGATTCCATCTTTTTTTCAACATGGTGAAAGAATGGAGCACAGTAACATTTATAACCAACTCCGACAGGACCCTGCAAAGTAAATCATTTTATATTAACTTTTTTTTTGTCAAATACACATAAGTGAAAAGTATCTTTTTAGTGATGTTCTTCCTTTCAAAACTTAGCATAGTTTTTTATGGCGAAAAAAAAACGACGTAAGACGTTTAGTGATATGTTGAATATAAAAAATCCGTTGTCTTTGTTATTAAGCACAAAATTGCTCAATAGGCTATCTGTGCGCGCCAACGCAAGGATCAAACCCAGAAATTCCAGGCCCTTAAGATTACTGCTGAGCCACTGTATTTTCATTTTCAAAGATTGGGTTTCCAAGAATTTGGTTTGATTTATCTAAGAAAATAATAGATACATTTCCCCGTTTGATCTTGCAACTTCGCTGTAAATAAAAAAATATACAATGACAGTCTTAGTAGTACACGCTGAAATGTATTATCCAAGTAAATTAAACTCATGCTGTGGTGGAACACGCTCAGTCACACTGTCACATTTCATAAAGGTTGGTCATTTTAACGTCACACCAACCTGTATTTCACTGTGACTGTGTTGTAAGTTTATTAATCTTTTCATTACCAACCTGTATGTCACTCTGACTGTGTAAAATTATTAAACCTTTCATTGTGACTGTGTTGTAAGTTTACCAACCTGTATTTCACTCTGACTGTGTAACATTATTAAACCTTTCATTCTGACTGTGTTGTAAGTTTACCAACCTGTATGTCACTCTGACTGTGTAACATTATTAAACCTTTCATTGTGACTGTGTTGTAAGTTTACCAACCTGTATTTCACTCTGACTGTGTAACATTATTAACCTTTCATTGTGACTTTGTTGTAAGTTTACCAACCTGTATTTCACTCTGACTGTGTAACATTATTAAACCTTTCATTGTGACTTTGTTGTAAGTTTACCAACCTGTATTTCACTCTGACTGTGTAACATTAAAACTTACAACACAGTCAG